ACCTCTTGGTCTACTTAGTTCTTTAATCACACTACATTTGTACTTAAACATTAGAAAGAGGGCAAAACTTATTTAAAACAAACACTAAACAAAATATACATGGTAAAAGAACTTTATAAATTTTTACCCCATGTTGTTGTCTAGCCAAATCCAAGTCTCTGGAAAATGCTTTCTGACACGTGGACTGCCAACCGAAGAAAAGTCATGAATATCTACCATGTATCCTTCACTTTCCTCCACAAACCTCTCAGCATACTCTGCAGTGTCATCTAAAAGTAAGCATTGACAGTGGTTAGGAAAACAGTCACTGGAGAGAATGAACTGTAACCTTTGTGCACAGAATCACAGCACCTCTCAGCTGAACAGAATTCTAGAGTTTCTCTTGTCCAATCCTCTCACTTTACATATAAGAAACCTGAGATGCAGAGAAGTCAACTGATTTGACCCAGGCAATGCAGACAGTGATGGCAGAGCCGGAACTGGAAAAAAAATGTTCCATCTCCTATGATCCATACCTGGACCAATACATGGACATTCACATCCCCCAGGATGACAACAGGAGGAAGACTTTGAATCTTTTGTGAGAGTCATCAATGAATAGAGAGGGAAAGAGGAAGTAAGTAACCTGAATTTTGATTGAAGAAACTATGATTGAAACTTTTGAGCTTCAAATGACAAGGGGCTCTTAACTGAGGGTTATTGAGCAATGGTCTGAAAGTAGTAAAAAAAAAAAAAACCAAACCTATGTACCTATGTACCCTATGTACCTATGTACATATATATGTACCCTATGTACCTAGGTACCCTGAGCCAGAAGAGAGACAGAAAAATGTCAATCACTTGAGGTCTCCAGGGAAATAATATGCTAGTGAGAGCATCAGGTGTCTTCTGTTACACTGAAAAGGTAGAAGGTTCTCAGAAAAGATAAAGGATACAAGTATTAACTGACAGTAGAATGGTTATTACAGTGGGAGTCAGGCAGGATTTGATAAGTAAAGATGAACAAAATGGGTAAAAGCTGAGACTGACAAATGGAAAAAGACAGATGCCCAAAAGGTTGTCTGGGACAGAACACTACATGAGGAAGCCTAAATGTTCCACATGTCTTTAATACATAGAGATCATAATGACTTCAAAAAAGCTTCAAGACTGTGAACTATCTTGTAAGCTCCAGCACAGAGGTTCAGGTGTCCTGTGGTGGCAAGAACCAGCCTAAAGCCAGAGAGCATAGGGCTTAGCATGGGTAACTGAGAACACTTGACAGAAATAAGGAATTCAGGGGTACAAACTGTGACAGTTCTGGAAGCTTTTCAAGATGACATTAGTATAATTTCACCTGAAAGAAAAGAGAATAACTTCTACAGTTAATGATTCTCATTTATACATTTCCTTCAGTCAAAGCATTTTATGACTTCTTCCTAAAAGCACACCTCTTATTATGACTGGGTGACCAACTCTATTCAGCAATTCAGGGCACTAGGATGTACAGAAATGACCCTGCCCAGGAAAAACTCAGACTGATGGGGGGGGAGGGTACTAGCACATTTATGGCACTTGGGCTATTTTCTAGGCGAACATCAAAAAGCTAGAGAACACAAATGTTTCAAAAATACGTTGTTCTTTTTAACTAATTCCAAAATAATAGCACAGGTCGTGACACAAACTAGAAGCAAAGGACCTTCCAATATGACCAAAAATATAACCACCTCAAAGAATTACAGAGAGCAAATGGAAAGCATTCATTTCAAAGATCTAGACAGGAGCCCAGATGAACACTGCATGACTTGGCCCAGATGTACTTCCAAGTACATTAAACTCCAAAGATTTTAGGACAAGAGAACAGAAAATGAAAATCACAATAACCACGTTCAGCCAGAAAGTATCCATACCTATAAGTAATGTTAAATATCTGAGATAAAAAAACAAGTATTTTACTAGCACGTTGCTGGGTTTTACTTACAAACGCCATCAATATAATCCTTTGTAAGCTTTGCATCCGTCAATACCCAGAGGCCACATTCCTAGAAAAAATAATTATAATTTTCTTTTAAAACAAAAGTTTAAATGCTCTCTAAATTTATCACAGAAGTCTCCCACACTCCTGACTTACTCTTGCTCATTTTTGAAAGCTTAGGTACATACATTTGATATCTCTCTCTCTCTCTCTCTCTCTCACACACACACACACACACACAAACACACACTTACATGCATAAAGAACCATTCCAAAGTCAAGAAAAGTAATATCAAGGAAAGAAATCATCTGCTTAATGACAATTCCATTAACTTCTCTAATGGTGAGTTTTTCCATTTGCTCTTAAAATTGGAAGGATGATTATCTTTCCATTCCAAATTACACGTACATAGCACTGAACTTCAGTGACACATTTAATAAAAGGTTAATATTTCATAATGATCATTAATTCTGATAGTGTATGCAATAGTAAATATACGAACTTCTTTCCAAATTATATAGCAAACTAAACATACCTGAAAGACTGCAAAAGAATTCATGAACATGCCTAAATAATATCCTGTGTTATAAAGTTCCAACTCATGGACAACCTAAAAAGAAGATAAAATATACAGAACGAATAGATTAATATCAACCTTCCACAGCATTTCTTACAAGTAACTTAGATAAGACATAGCCCTCATGCTTAACAAATTTGAAAATGACACAAATTGGAGAGTAATAAATATGTAAATGTTTTGTTCATGATTCAGTCAAAACTTCATTTCTTATTTAAACTTATCTTTACTCTACTCAGCAATCCAGAGTTCCTAAGAAGTATGAACTTGAGTTTTTCCCAAGAGGAACTTAAATGTTACTCGTTGACAAGACAAACCAATAGAGGTCAGCATTAAAAATGATGCATACTTAGCTAAAAGGGAGGATTCTGAACATTCCCAACACAAGAAATAATAAATGTTTCAGGTGATGAATATGCTAATTACCCTGTTTTGCTCACTGCACATTGTATATACATGTATCAAAATATCACTCCATACTCCATAAATATGTACAACTATTATGTGTCAATTAAAATTAAAAAATAAAAATAAAAAAATTAATGGCCCATACTTTTGGCAAAGACAAATGGGTTAAACTTGACGGCAATTAATATAAGTTCTGCAAAATGGCAGTTACCTAAATTTAAAAAAAATAACCTAAAGAGTCAATTCACAAAAAAGGAAATCTAAATTATTAAAAAGCAGGAAAAATATTCAGCCTCATTGATAATCAAAGCAATGCAAATTACAATATCAATGAGATACAGTATTTTCAATATGAGATATTTGTATGTATCACATTAGCAATCGTTTTTTTGTTTGTTTTTTAAGAACAGTACTCGTTGCTAGCAAGAGTGGTTAAAACAGATTAAAAGAGTGAGTAAGATTGGCAGTTCCTCAAAAAGTTAAACACAGAACTAGAATATGACCCAGCAATCCCACTCCTAGGTACAAACCCAAAATAACTGAAAACAGGGAATCAAACAGATACTTGTATGTTAATGTTCACTGAAGTATAAGGCACAATAGCCAAAAGGTGGAAACAACCCAAGTGCCCATCAACAGATGAATGGATAACTAAATGTGGTATATACATAAGATGGAATACTATTCAGCCATAAAAAATAATAAAGTTCTGACACACGCTACAATATGGATGAAACTTGAAAACATTGTGCTAAGTGAAATAATCCAGACACAAAAGGACATGTATTACATAAGTCCACTTATGTGAAATATCTAGTATAGGCAAATTCAAAAAGACAGAAATAGAGCAGAGGTTGCCAGGGGCTGGGGGGAGGGGGAAGTGGAAAATTATTGCTTAATGGTTACAGAGTCTCTGTTTGGGGTGACGAAAAAATCTTGGAAAAAGATAGTGGTGACAATCATACAACATTGTGAAGTAATTCATGCCACTAAATTGTACAGTTACAAATGGTAAAAGAGGCAAATTTTGTTGTGTATATATTTTACTACAATAAAAAAAAACTAAGCTATTATACCCTTTTTTGGTAACTATTTTGATACTTTGCCCTTATTTACATTAGCATTAACCA